AAACTTTTTTCTTGTCATCATATGCCAGAATCCAGTTTTGACCAGAAAAAAAACCCACTGCCTTTTCTTCTCTGCCAGCAGGGTCTTCCTTGGTCCTTTGTTGCCACTGTTGCTGGTTTAGCTGAAACAGGTAACAGTGGTAGTGGCAGCATCTGGAAGAGGATACTGGGACCCCGTTCAAGTGTTGCTGAACAGGTTTATGGGATAGTTCTGACTTGAACCCTACCTTTCCCATTCTGGCCCTAAAATGGTACTTCTCATTTTACCTGTGGCTGATTTTATGACTGTCTTTTATCTTGAGGCTTAAAATATTACATTTTTTATATAACATAATGTCTCATTATTTTCACTAATGAATGAAAAACAAAAGGAAATGTCCATATTGACCTCCAGTAGGAAATGTTTGTAGCATTCTTTGCATTTACTCACACTTCTTCTTGTCACTCAGTTGGTTTAGTATGTTAGCATTTATACACCGAGATAAGAGAATTTGCATATATGCCCTGAGCCCCTAGGAAAATCTGACAATTTGTTTTCATGTAACACTAATTTATCATTTAATTAATAATGATACTTATTAAATCTCTAGTGACAAAGCTGCATAATAGGAACAGACTGTTGTAAAGTGCACATTGAGTTCTGCACAGCAGGGGGAGATACAATCCATAGAACATAAAGGTTTTCAAATTTAAGAAAAAAAGGATAAAGTTACCAGACAGATATTTTTAAAGAAGTCTAAATATTTAAACTTTTTACTTTTACACAGTTAAATCCCAACTGTTGCATATGTACTACTACTTTTAAATTGGTTTAGGTACCAAAAGCATTAAAACAAGCAATCAACACCTTAAAAAACTGAAAGCACTGGTTAATATGTGTTTGTTTAAAAATAAACAAGCAAACAAAAAATAGAAAAGTTACTTGTTATGATATATGAAGAAGAAAGACTACTTACATGTATTGCACTGTAAAGTCTATAGGCAAAATAGGAAGGCTTGTCCCGAACACAGAGAACTAGGAGAAAGAAAGAAAAGTTACAAGAGGAAAACAAAATGTTATTGTAAAAACATTTCTATTGGCTTTGGGCTCTTTGAAATATAAAGATGGGTAGCGCCACCCTTGATTCAGCTTAAAGTTAAGCTACCAGTTTTTACAAACATGACTATACTTGTCAGGTACAAACAGGGTGACTACAAATGGTTGACTAGATTCGTCAGCTACTTTTTGAGTACTCACAGCTGTTGCACAGAAGGGCTTACTAAATGTTAATGAAAACGCTTGCATGACATCTCTGAGGAAATATTATTATCCTTTTTTTCATACATGTACATGGGAAACCAAGACACATAAAGCTTAGAACTCCCTCATATACCACGGAAGTCCCCAGATTTTTGCCAATGATTTAAATGTATATGGGATCAGTTACTAACGCACTTGTTATCGATCACACAGGAAGTTTGTTATCAGATAACCAGTATTAGCCCTTTTCACTCACAATTTAGTGCTGCATATATACATTTTTAGATTTACACAAGCATGGAACAGTATTTCTATACAAATATCCTTTTCTATATCCAATAATTATCTCCCAAACTTTTAATCACATAATATAGGAAAGTGGAGAAAAATATCAGAAAAAAATACATTTTTAATGCGTCAGAGATACCATGCCAGATATTACAAGATTACTGCGAGTATAAAATAATATTTTTGTTACCTATCGCAACCAGTAATTCTTGAAAGTATCCATCATAGCATTCATTAATGGCATCTACTATGTCTTGCCCAGAGATATTTTGGAACTCCTGAAAAACTTGAAAGAAAAAAAAATCTTTCTTCATTCCAGCTCAGTAAGAGAGTGATCATCAACCTCCCTGTTTCCTGTCTCTCCCAGTACTATAGCTATTGAGTTTTTTTTTTAGTGTTTCATTACATGAATATCCTCCACGTAAGGTAATTTAAATGAGTACCTTGAAATCTGGCTTCCAGGAGTTTCTCCTCTGTGGATTCTCCAGTATACCACAAAGAATCAACTCATGCCAAAGCCTCTTTTTCACTGAAAGCTCTAATACATTCTTCATCTAGCTACCTCTGTTTACAATGCTTTTAAGAACTCCATGTCTTTAAGACATCTTCTATGCTCCAGCTTGCCTCAAATCGGCCAAAGGTTCAAAAATTATGGGAAGCCACACTAACGTCACTTCCAAGTACCCAGACTTACACACACAAATATACAGGGCATACTACATAGGCTTTAAGAAATGAGGAAGATTGTCAGCTCATTGCTCCCTGTAAAGCTTTTGGAGGACTGTGTTTTACAGGCACAGGTATCAAATCTCTAGTTCAAAGAGGGAGCATAACTAGGTCTGTTATGCTACATCAATCCCATCACTACTAATCTCACAGAAGTCACGATAGAACAATTATTTGTTGATTTGTGACAGTAATTTTCAAGGACTGCTATAAATTGGCATAAGAAACACAGCTGGCTGCAGAATGGCAAACTTGTCCCCAAACAGATTCTCTTCCCACTGCAGAGCAAAAGACATCTCAAACTTGTCACCAAACAGGTATGAGATATTTTCTGTTCCACAGTGCAAGGCAAGTCATATATACATTTTTTTTTTTGCAATCTGTAATTGTGTCTGACTATCTAGCTTTAAATCAAAATGGTCCAGTTATGTTTCTGTCTTTGTGTGTGTTAATTAAGAGAGAGTAGATGTGGATCTTAGAAGTCTGCCTATCAAAAAACTTATTGGAAAGGTCCATGGAGAAGCATCTACACAGCAATGTGTTTGACGTACTGACAGTTGTCGAAAATACTCCAACTGCCTCTGCTAACCAGCTTTCACCCATAGTAAAGAGCAATTCAGGAGAAATGAAGAAAACTGTTCAGAAATATCTGCCTCATCCTGCTGCTTGTGTTGCATATAAAGTCAGTGCAGCCATAGCCCATGTCTTCGGACATGGTCTTCTCTCTTTCAGTAGACACTGTGGTATCTGTCTGTTCTATCTACATCTGTCTGTAGTCATCAGGCAGAGTTCAATTTTGCATTACTTCCAAACTCCCATTAACATCATTGGAAGTTGAGAGCTCAAAGAATTCACATTTAGGTTCTTGGATGCGTAAAGTTTCGGACTAATACTCTGCACATTAAGCTTCCTGGTATGTAAACCATGGTTTTTTTAACAAGTCAGATTCTTCCTCTCTACTATACGTTCGAACAGCTGAACTGTTGGATTACCCATCCACAACTGCTGGTAACTCCTGTTGCAGAGAATCAGTTGCAGCATGTTTTTGTGTTCTCCTGTTTTCTGCTGACATGCTTCCCACAGGATCTAATACACCAGAAGAAGAAAAAAAATGCCAAGGATTGTTAAGTCCTAAATCACTTTTCAACATTTGTATTTGTTCTTGTTTTTCATATTTGAGAAGCTGACGTCTGACTACATTTACCATCGCATCCTGAGCAGCTGTAGAAGGATCTGCATATCCTTCCATTCTTGTTCCCTGGAAAAAAAGATACATTTTTTTTCAACAGTTTAGCAGATGAAGCTTTCTCTGTATGATGATACTTATCATTTCTTGAGAGATCACATACATATTTTTACATTGGATCACTGTATTAAAGAGTTAAATGTGCCACTGCAAAAAATATCCTAAAGCTGTCATGTTACGTCCTCATTTTCTCAGAAATCCTGAGAAACAGAGAAATCCTGGAACGACAAGGGGTCTTATGAGAGGAAGAAAAGGTGGAAGTGGATACATTGGCCACATAAGCCAATCCCCTTTTTAATCCCATTTTAAATAAACTCACTCAGCAGTCATTCACTGCTTATTTCTTATCAATATACTTATTACCAGGAGAAGAATCTTTTCTCAAATTTTTTCTCCCTGCCCAAATTGTAGGAGCAAATATATCAAATAATGGTTATTCTGCCTGCATATTAACTTCACCTAAAATTAAGATTCAAGACTGGGAAATGGTTTGGCCTGTTCAATACATAAACCACGGAAGAATAATTCTAGTTTTCCCATACATTTAATAGCTTTTCAGTTACACAAATTAAGCTGATAGGAATTATTAATCATACTATGATCTGAATTATATGGTTGTTAGAAAAAGAAAAAAAAAAGCACCCAACTTTTACACTTGCTTTTTTAACCATAATCATCTGGTAAGGACACAAATCAGCTGGGGGTGCAGAACTCTTATCATTCTCAAGCAGGAAGTACTAACTCTTCCAAAACCTTTCAATTCCAGAGGATTTTGTTGCTATGTTTTTATTGATGGGTGATTGCCTCATTGGGGACATCAAAATCATAATTACCATACTATAGCAATTGAATAATTTGCTCTCCATATGCAAAGACTTCTGGCAGCAGTTATATGTGTGTGCTATCGGTCACAAGATTTAAACTAAGTGAAAACAATAGGACTCTGTAAAAGGCATTAAAGGATGCACTGAAAATACTGATACAGAATAACAGCCTTTCTCTTAAGTTGAATGATAGTAGAACTAGAAATGGCATATTTTAACGAAATACCACAGACTTTTAATGTAAGACCATATCATAGTCGTTATCTTGAGGAAAACAGCAGTTAGATCTCTTTAGTTAAATAGCTGCTGATTTCAGTCGGTGAATATTCAGTGAATATTTGCTGTTGAAGAAAATATGGACTAATACAGGCAGAATAATTTAATTTAAATTTGTTCTGTTGACAAGTAAAAATTTACCACCGCTTTAATAACAGTGAGAAGTGAGGTCACTTAACCTACTACAGCTGTTCATTTTTTAAGCATAAAACAGTTTTCATTACTATAGGAGAAAAGAGTTTTCATTACTATAGAAGAAAAAATGTTTCTTGCTTATAGCTTCTACATTTGAAACATCTGCACTTTATCTCTTTACCTCAATGAAGCCCACCCTGACTTCAAATCTTAGTAAGAAACATTTTCCCTTCTTTTATAAATATGTATATTTATGTGTATGTACATACACACACATATATATGTATAGAAATCTAGACACCTCTTACGTATGCTATTATCTCCTGACTGTGCTTTTGTCATTATTTCTTACTTCAGTTTACAAAACATTTTGAAGATAACGAGCACAGTGACCATACCGAGAAAAGTCACGTAAAAGTAGGAGAAGGAATTCAAATTCTTTTCCTCTTCTGCTCTTTTCCCTCTTTTCTTGTTGAAAAGTGCAACCCTGTAGAACTATCTTGAACCACAGTCACCTCTAAAATTCAAGACTCCTTGAACAATATCAAAAGTTGTTCTGAATTTTGTAGGAAAGTAAGTCATACTATTTTACAATACCTGAGCAAGGTTCATAAGCGTATCTCTGAAGTGACCTGAAGTCTCAGAATCAATATCTTGTTGAAGATCATTATTATAGTCTAGGTTAAAACAAAAATGTATCACCTATAACACAAACGCTCTGAATGAAGATTAACAAAGAGAGAATAAATAAATAGGATGCAAATACTTGCAGCATGTTGATATTTGTCCATTTTCGAATGTCATTATTCTGCAGTAACGTGTGTACGTTCTGCATGAACCTAATCTTATTTATGGATCGCAGCCCGGCTGCCGTGGCTGGCCCTGCTCTGGGTGCCATGTTTGGGCCCCATGGGGCTGTAGCCGCGCTGGGGTCCTGCCCGGCGGCCCTGCCTTCCCTGTGACCTCCAGCACTCCCTGCTTTTGCAGAGCAGCCCTGCTGCTCGCTGGTAGGTAGTGCTCAGAAATGCCTCATCAAGCTAGGTGAGTCGAGTGTCCAACTTGCATTAAGCACTTGTTTGAAAAATGGCCTTTGTGCTTTTCTTGAAAGGAAAAAAGATGCACAAAAACTTCTGAAAATCCCAACATGCGGCTTCTAGGTATTTCAAACATCACAGGCTGCACTACTTCTCTAAATTATTACTACATATTTTAAACTTCAAACATTTTGCTTCAGCCTTCTATATATAGCTATTGGGGGAGACGGAGAAGAAGGGGTTAGTTTTGAGAAGTCCTCTTTTGTAGTCCCCTCTTTCACTCAGGCTAATACATCCAGAGCACAAATAACGTAACTACTACTGTACACTTGTAAAAATAAAATTACGCATCAAGTAGGCTTCTTTCATCTGGAAGATCTCCATATTTGATCTTGAGGCCAATATATCAATTAGACATTTTTCTTCCGTGTCTACTCCCTGTATGAAAAAAGTAAATAAGCAAAGATGTTACTAGTAGAAATTATGGCTTTCAGAAGAATACCGTGCATCTATCAAAAATAAGAACAAAATACCAGTCTCCGCTGGAGACTGTACGTATGGTATACTTTTGCATAGTTTACTCGTTTAAATAGAAACTGATTTTAAATTAGTATTAGAACCCTATATTGCAAATATACTCTTGCTTAATCTGAATTTGAGTGTGCACATTATTAAGTGGGGAATGAAGTAAGCCTAATGTTGACAGAAACATACTGGGAAGAATTTCAGAGCTTTAATAAGAACTTAGGATTTATTGCAAGAAATCAAATGCAAAGATCAAGCACACATCCATAGCAGGTGTTCAGGCAATCTGAAATGGATGTAAGCACCAGCAATACGTTGTTCTTCTAGCTTCTTTTGGGAGGGGGGTTTATTTCAAAATCTTTTTAGTCTGTAATGTTTAACATAGGACTTGGTATTTAAAGGAAGCATCATGGCCATGTATGTTGTGCTGCAAATTGTTGTATTTTCCCACATGATTTGAATTCATTCCCACATGAGCTTGAATTGAGATCAGATATGCTGCTTTCGATAAGCACATGTATATGGTTGATGAGTATTCTACATTTGGGATAATGGGAGAATGTGACATTGATCCCTGTAAACCCTAGGGTTTAGCCTGTAAACCCTAACACATGCTCTTTACTTTAGCCATATGAATACAAATCAAGATAGAATACCCTAAGGAAGTTTGAATTTGAGCAACATGCAGAAAAAATATGATTTTGCCAATCCAATCAGTAATGTCAATGAAAGCCACACTTCTGATGCTACCGATGATATTTCACAGTCTTTTTATTGCCAACTATAATTAAAAAATATATTAGTAATTCTAGAAAAAGTTGCAACAGTTTCAGTATCTAAGAGACATGAAAAAGTAAGAATTCAGCAATTCAGCAATTCAGGAATTTCCTGAGAAAGAATTTGCAAAGGATTATTATTTTTGATAGCCAACAGTGGACTTGTTTTCTAAGAACTTGTTAAAGTGTTTTATGAACTGATTTGTGCCTTTGGCATCCATACTGTCCTGTGGGAATGAATTTCACCATTTAATCACATGATGTTTGAAAAAGTATTTACTTTTGTTTGTTAAAAACTTTAGCTGCTTAAACAGCGCAGGCTCAGATCCAGAGAAGAAAAAAATTTTTTCTTGAAATTGTGAAATCAGTTCAGTTTCAGTGGAATGATCATTGCTTTGTCACAGAGTAATTTTTAAACGCTTATGCAAGGACATGTTCTTCTGAAGAAGCATCAGTCTCTGAATTCAGAGGTGAAGCAATAGAGCATGGCACTGGGGCCAGGGAGTAAGAAAAACATGCAGGTTGCTGCTCCCTCATCATCCCCCAAATGCCCACTCTCATGACAGACAGGAACCTCTAGGTGAAAGATTGAGTAACTGTGTGGAAGAGAAGTTGTAGTCTCCAAAACTAGGCCAGAGTTTTGCAATTCTGGGAGAGGAGGCAGGAGCAGTGTAAAGAAACACTGTTCAGTTTGTTTTTTTCTAACAGGGATTTCACTGAACTGGATCACAACACAACACTGTTTATGCTCACCTGTGACTTCCTTGCCAAGACTTAATGCAGCTGCTCAAATGAACCTTGTTCATAACATGCATAAAGACTTACAGGATCAGGGCCTTGCACTTCCCTGTATAAATGTTTCTTCAGCTACCCAGTTTACTACAGGTGCTAAATCACCTGTACTTTTACATGACTGAGATATTTTAACATACCAATGAATATACCTCATATAGTTCTGTAGTTGTCATATCCTAGTATACAGGAAGTACCTTTCCAGCAGTCTATCATCCATTTCAACGTCAAAAAAAATCAATTTAACATATGTTAGGTAACATAGTCAGTGACTGTGACTCTAAGTAATTCAGAATTAGACAAGTACCTTCAAGGCATGCCAGAGCTCATGAGCATCATAGGAAGCAGGTGGATACATCAGGCCAACCATGACTTCTTTGAAGTGATGAGAGAGATTGTCTTTTAGGTCTGTTATCAAATCCTTATAACGGTAGGGGGCGGGGGGGCAAAAAAACCAGTCAGGAATATTTCAATAGTCACACTTCTGGTTAAAATTAAGCAACAAAAATCTCTTCTTTAAGTAGAACCTACTCCTTCTAATAATATGGGTGAGATGACTACAGACACACAAGCAAGTAAAGCATGTAGGTTTGTTGGGTTTTGCTTCATTAGAATACAAAAGAAAATTCAGGGGTTTGTTAAGAGCAAATACTACCTAATAAAGGCTTTGAAACCTGAGTACCAGGGCAGAGCATCTGTAACTTCCCTTGACATATTCCCTATGTGAATCCATGGGAACTAAGTATATTTGGAAATCAAATCCCATAAAGCACAGGAGATTTCTTGTGCTTTTTCTCACTGTTATACACTATATGAATTTTTTTTTACAGATACATATTGCTTTCAGTACCTAAAAATATCTGCTTTGGATTACTGGAAGGTTATATGCTTCAATTTATGCATTATATTGACCAATTTTGACAGATGCTGGATTAATAAAAAGCACCTCCCCTCCCCTATGTAGGTGCCTCAGTATTCACTTGCCGGGTAGTTGACTAAAGGAGGAAAGTTTCCGTGCCCACTCTCCCCTTACCCATTAGAATCCTTCAAAACATTAACAATGACAAAAGCTTGTTAGTTATACTATTGCTACTTTTGAGTAAGAGGATGCTTGTACGCTGATTTTCTTTTTTTTTTTTTTTTGGTACACCACTGAACAGCTACCAGATATGCTCTGACCTAAGTCTGAATTTAAAGGAACACTGGAAACAGTTCCCATCATATAAACTGAGATGCATCTTTACAGGCCTATACTTCAGCTTTGAACACATATCTGACTATAATTACATTAGTAGCTAGAGTAGCAAGGAGGGAGGAGACATTAAAAAGTTAGATTTATGATGAAGAAACAATATGCAGCTTTCACTGAATGCACACTAGATGTATTCGACAACAACTAAATCACACATGGAATACAAATTAATTCATTAAGACATTTCACTTCTGACAACATGCCTGTGGGAAAATGGATTAATAACACAAATGGATACTAATTAAAAATTACCTGCAATCAGAACTAGGAAAAGTGAAGTATTGAAAAATAAGAAAAGACAACTCTAGGTTGTCATTATTAACATTTCATAATTGTCTCTGCTATGAGAAATCCTTGAAGGCTAATTGTTAGAAGGAATCTTAAAGCCTGTATGTATATCTGAATCATCCAGTCAATTCATGATCTTCTTTTCAACCTACTTCTCCTTCTACTGTGTTCCACTTTACATTTGGTAAAATGAACATGCACAGTGGCTACAATACTGAATTGAAATTAAGAGGGTGGTGTATAGGACTGATGAGCTTACCGTATATTAAAGTGGGAGGCTAAAATCATTATTGCCTAGCTGTCTGTCATCTTTCTCCTGCAGAGTTTACCAGTCATAAGCAGGGACTGCTGAATGGTCCATGCTATTAATACACCATTGGACAAATAATTGGACAGTCCATTAATACAGATTACAAGTGATGCAGTGTTATCACTGATACGTTACGAAGTATCTTCTGAGTAAACTGCAGCAGTTCAGAAGACACATCAGCATACCAAAAGAAGTTCAGAGGCGGCACATCAGAACACAGGTTCAGCA